TAAAAAAAAAAAAAAAAAAAAAAAGGTGGAGAGGAACTTGGGCGGGGAAAGTGAGTAAGGCTGGAGAGAAACCAGCCCTGATGGTTGCCCACTTTGGTTTCCTTCTCCTGGCACCCACAGCGAGGAGGAGGAACTGAAGGGAGAGGAAGGGAAGGGAAACCATGTTACTGTACTCCATAGCATCTATACTCCAGTAGTTTGCTTTATATGTCCTGTGTAGCTCAGAGTGTGACACCTTCCCAAGATGCATGTAGGAGAAAAACAATGATTTCCTAAAGATGAACAGAGTTCAGTTTCTGTCCTTGGGCAGTTCACAGCCTGGTGGGGGAAAAAAGATAAACAGGAAGTTACTTAAAAAATAGTGGCACAGTGATACTCACGGTGCTTCTCGGGGCAGTTGGGGCACCAGCTAAGGATTTCTGGAGGGGGTGACTGCTACCTGAGTCTTGAAAGATTATGCATACACTGACAAGTTTTTACTAAGATGAGCCTTTGTATTAAAAGGTTGGGTGAGGTAAGAGAGTGTGTGTGTTGGGGTAGGGGGGGAAATAGAGGACTTTGGGGAAGATAAAACAAGAGAAAAAGAACAGTCTAGGCAGACAAGAAGAGGAAAGAAAGAGCGTGACTGGGGTCGGGAATTACAGCTACTTCGATTTTGCTGGACCATAAATTGTAAAAGACAAGATTGACAAAGCAAGCATAGTTCATAGTTTGGGATCTCTCCTGTATGTTATGAGGATCTATTAAAGGATTTTTAGCAGAAAAGTAATATGTACAACTTTTCATTTTATACAGATCACTTTAGCAAAAATGTGAAAAGTAAATTCGAAGGGTACAAGAGTGAGAAGATGGAGACTAGTTAGGATAAAATTGTATTAGTCTAGGCAAGAGGTGATAAGGTTAGAAAGAACCACAGTTTTAAAAAAGTGAATAAATTCAAGAAATATTTACAGGCTAAAGTTGGCAGAACACCACATTGGCTTAGATGTGGTGAGATAGGGAGAAGGAGGAGTTACCAGTGACTGTCCTCAGGCCACACAGACCAACCAGTGAATAATATTGTTTTCCTTTCACCTGCATCTCTTCTTTGTTCATTACCTAACCAGAATAGGCAGTTCAAAACCTGAGGTGAAGTTTGGACATCTGGGATATAAAGAAGATGTTCTTCCAGCCTAAAGGATCATTGCAAAAAAAAAATACGAATTACCTCAAAGATTCCTGGGAATACAGTTGACTCCCTGGAGCTTAGTGCAGTGTTTGCTGTTTTTCACAAGGGAAAAGCAGGGATCTTTCTCTTTAAAACTATTTTTTTCCTTCACAAAGCATAATACAGTGAGACAACTAAAAGATAGATAGATTTTCCTTCTGTTCATCATAGAGCCTCCAAATTCAAACCTGAGCATTGTTAAGACTGAATCAGATTTCTCCTGAGCCCATTCTAGTTCAGTTGTACAAGTTGAGAAATTTCTCAGGGAAGAGCAATCCAAGATCCCAGCGTCTAGGCTGGCTGTTACACATTCAGTTTTCTCTGGTTGACAGCATATCCAACAACTGAGCAAGGGAAGGAAAAGTCTTTTTTTAAAAAAAATATTGAATAGTTGTGGAATGTTTATTTCTTTTTTTATTGAATTTATTGGGGTTACATTGGTAAAAAAATTATATAGGTTTCAGGTATACAATTCTATAACACATCATCTGTATATTGTATTGTGTGTTCACCACCCCAAGTCGAATCTCCTCCCATAACCATTTATGCCCCTTTTACTCTCTTATACCTGACCCACCCATCTTTCCCTCTGATAGTCACCATACTATTGTCTACGAGTTGTTTTTGTTGTGTTTTTTTGCTTAATCCCTTCACCTTTTTCGCCCAGCCCCCAACCTGCCTCCTCTCTGAGAGCTGTCAGTCTGTTCTCTGTATCTATGAGTCCATTTCTATTTTTGTGTGTTAGTTTATTTTGTTCATTAGATTCCACATATAAGTGAAATCATATGGTGCTTGTCAACTAGCTTATCTCAGCATAATATTCTCTAGGTCCATTCATGCTGTCACAAAAGGTAAAATTTCCTTCTTTTTTTTTAAAAAATATGTGTGTTTTTTAATTGATTTCAGAGAGAGAAGAGAGATAGAAACATCAATGATGAGAGAGTCATTGATCACCTGCCTCCTGCACACCCCCTACTAGGGATTGAGCCCGCAACCAGGCATGTGCCCTGACTAGGAATAAAACCTTGACCTCCTGGTTCATAGGTGGACAGTCAACCACTGAGCAACACCAGCCAGGTTTCCCCTTTTTTGTGGCTGAGTAGTATTCCATTGTGTAAATGTACCACAGTTTTTTTATCCACTCATATACCGAAAGGCACTTGGGTTGCTTCCAAATCTTGGCTATTATAAATAACACTACAATGAGCATAGGGGTGCATAGATTCTTTCAAATTAGTGTTTCAGGTTTATATGGATCTATTCCCAGAAATGGAATAGCTGGGTCATATGGCAGTGCCATTTTTAATTTTTTGAGGTAACTCTGTACTGCT